TACACAAAAAATGTGGTACACTTACTGATACCTATTGATATATAGTACATGTATGCCAAATTTCATCAGAATATCTGAAGTGGTATTACAGATATTAATAAAAAACAATTCACTTTTGAGAACTTTACCACCCTGTATCTCAAAAGTTGAGATGTTTAGGTCATACGCTCATTAAAATTGTCCCCATAACATGAGTCCATGAATTACCTCCTCAAATATTGACATTCAATTAGGAATCACCCTGTATAATACACAACCACCAAATGTCGTTTTTCTCAATATCTTCAATAATAAAAAAGTTATTGGGGTGAGCCACCTAATGAAGAAACAGCCCATAAAACGTTTCTATTTGGTTCTTTGTTCGAGTATCACCCTGTATGTTTAGGTGGCTTTTTTAATGCCGACGCCTTTAGCGTGCGACGTCCGTTGTTTCCGCTAGTCAGTTGTTTTCGGTTCGTCGATGAAAATTCATCCAAGTGGGCTTGACCTGACCGCCTTGATCGGTATGTCATCACTCACTATAAATTTTCGATATAGAAATGTAAAAATAGACTATACTAGTTTTTAGTTCCAATTTGGATTAAGTAAAGCGTTTCTATATTGTCGAGTGAAAATCAAGTTTGAAACTATACATAGACAGACTATAGGCACCTTTTCAACTTCAAATTGGCAATTCACATTTATTCACAAATTCAGAATAAACACATTGAAATAAAAAATATTCACTCTCAAATTGGAATTGAAGACTTTAAAATTTAGAATAAACATATTTAATTTCAGAATGAACACATATTCATTTTGTCTACACCTTTTTCAATTGTAATTCAGGAAGTAAAAGATGTAATTCAGAGGATATAAGTTGTAATTCAGAATAGTTAATTGTAATTCAGATAGTATAACTTGAAATTCTGATTAGTTAATTCTAATTCAGAAATCGAAATATGTAATTCAGAATTTCTATTCCCCACCCTCGTTTAAGTCCATAGTATTTATGAATAATTACAAGTGATGCTTTCTGAATTACAAATTACGTTTTATGAATCACAATTGACTATTTTGAATTACAAGTTACACTTTCTGTACATTTCACTAATCTGACTTAAATATTATGCATTCTGAATTACAATTGACTAATCTGAATTACATTTGACGCTTTTTGAATTACAATTAACTATTCTGAATTACAAGTTACACTTTCTGACTTACATCTTACTAATCTGAATTACAAGTTACATTTTCTGAATTACAATTGAAAAAGGTGTAGTAGTCAGATAGGTACATTCAAATAAACAATAAGCACACCCAAATTGAGAATGAACATATTTAAATACAGAATAAACAATTTTTGGATGTATGACGAATTGATATTCATCATACATGGCGTGGAAAGAAATTCTGAATTGAGAAATCCTAATCACAAGTCTGCGATTAAAGGTCTATAAAAATGACAAGTTTCCATCGTTCAATTTATAACCTCCTCATTTGGTGAAAGTATTGAAGAGGAATATTCTCAGATAAATTATGAACATGAAAAAATGGATACATTGAGAATTCACATTCTCTCTGTGATGAAAATATCAATTCTTTCGGTTTATTCAACAGAAAACTACTACTTTTCTGGGTTTATGCCACGACGAACATTGAATTAAATCTATTGAACACACACGATATTTTTTATGCTCTTATCTGGATGTTCAACAGATATAATTCAATGTTCGACGTGGCAAATAACCAGTAGATGTTTTCTGTTGAATGAACCGATTAAGAATTGATATTTTCATAACATAGAGAATGCGAATTCTCTTATTTATATATGTATATATTCATCATTAATACAGAATAAACACATATTTAAGTTGAACAATGCATTCAAACTGACAATAAACACATTCAAATTGAGTATAAGCATGTGTTCTATTCAAAATTGTATAATTTCGATCATTTGAATGTTTTTACACTCTATTGAAAAGGAATATTCTCAATCATTTTGTTTTCATTTTCACAAAAAAATGAAAAAAAGTCTTTATTACTCCAGCATTAGATACCCTACAGTTGCATTATTTCATCAGAAAAATTAATCGAAAACCTCTTTACATTTTCAACCTATTAGTTTTAAAAGTTTTAAAGCTATCTTACATTTTTTACATGAACAATTTTTGGTCAAACAACTTATTTTGGCGAGAACTATACCCTGTTAAAAGAACCTCACTTTCAGATTCACCCTGTATGTATCCATTTTTTCATGTTCTTAATACATTCGAGGATATTCCTTTACCCAATCAAGGCGTTCAAACTTGAACGATGGAAATTTGCTTTTACATGCATCTAATCGCAGATTCGTGATTAGTTTTTATCAATTCAGAGTTTTTTCCACGCCTCGTATGATGAACATCAATTATTCATCGTAGGGACACAAAATGTACATTCTCGTTTCGCATGTGTTATCAATTCCAGTTTCATTTCGAGTTTGGAATCGATTATCACCATTTGAAATATGTTTTTCTCAATACAATCAAACGTGTTTATTTTACAATTGAACTTTTTTGATCGATTTTGAAATATCAATCCCCAGTTTGAAACTAATCATTCTCAATTAAAGAATAATAATCTGAAGATGAAAAGGTATAGTTTATAGATACATTCATAGGTGTTTGTTTAGAGAATTATATCGACATATTGAAAGTTTATGATCTGATATTTTTCTTAGGAATCAGACTTTGGATCTAACTTCGTTTCATTTCGAACTTCTTGTTCTGAAAGCAACATTTTTGTGTTTGGTTGGAAAGGTCTGAATCAAGAGAATTGATGTCGATTTGAGAAAACTAGGTGGGCCTGAATTAAGAAAATAAGATTTGAATAGAGAAAAACTGATAATGAAGTATCTTATTTCAATTGAGAAACCATTCTAAGCTCTTGATAGCTTCGAACAATCAGTTATATAGGTTTAGGACATGTCATTGAATTATTTGACATACTTCAGCTGCTGTAAGTGTTTATCATGTGAATGATTTAATTTCAATGGCTCCAAGTTGCCTACTTGAAAACCTCTACCAATGTAGAAGCAACATTATGGAAGATGTACCACTCAAATGGCTTTATTTTGATGAATTCTGATTATAGGAGTCTACTCAACTCACTAATAGAAGTTATTCTGAAGGAAAACTAATTTACGTAACAAGTCCTGAAATACTGTTTTTTTTTTGGACGAGTAGACAAAATTCTAGGCTGAGCCGTAGGCGAGTCCTGGAAGTCTACGAGTCCAAAAAATGTTTTTGGACGTGTTGCGTACACAATTTCTTCGCAATCATATTGTTGTTCTAAAATTGTTCTATCCGTCATTCGGTTGCCCCCTTACGAGCAACCCTCAGAAGTCTTCGAGAGTCTTGTGCGATCAGAAAAATTTCTGCAGTCGATGGGAATCGAACCTACGACCGTCAAGCGTATGCGGATTAGAATATAAACACTTTGTCCGCACGGCTACCTGGCCCCCTGGCCTCCAATATGTAGAATAACATTTCAATAAGACACATTTCCATATTATATTTCTTTGTGGAATACAATTTCTCCTTTATTAATTCTTATTTGTATCAAATACTGAAATTTTAACAGAATACCTATACCGAGACCTATACCTACTAACTGCTACATTGAAAATTTCGTATGGATATTTTCAAACTCACTATCGCTGCTGCTTTCGATAGTTTATTGCGATAATTGCAACCAAACTTTCAAAAATCTAAATGTCAACTAATTTCATGTCAAATAGCAGTCAGCCGATATTTCGCTGCTATGGTATCATCTGGATTTATCAAAACCTTATCTACTACCAAGATTTTCATAGTTACAGTGACAACGGTGTGATACTTCCCGTCCTAGTCCGAGAAGTAAGTAAGGATCAGGAGCTGGTATTTATGGGGCGAAGCCAAAGACAAGAATCTCACTGAGCTTAGGCAAATACGCGACGGTGTTTCAGGTAGAAATTATTGCAATATATCATTGCGTAAAAGAATTGATAAGGCAAGACTTTAAAGGCAAAACCATTGCAATCTATTCAGATAGCCAGGCGGCAATCAAAGCAGTCAACTCTATGCAAGTTAACTCAAAACTAGTATGGGACTGCTTAGAAACCCTAAATGCACTGGGCAGTCAGAACAGATTGACTCTAGCATGGGTACTAGCACATACAGGGTACGAGGGCAATGAAGAGGCAGACTCACTTGCCCGAGCAGGAGCAAACAAAGCTCTTAATGGCCCAGAACCCTTCTGTGGTATTGCAAAAGCTATACTAGTATCAAATCATGGATGCAAACCAAATCTCAAGAATGGTGGAACAACTCGCCAGGAATGAGACAGGCTAAAGAGTTTATTAAAAAACCATCGCCAACATTCACAGAATATCTACTAAGCCAGAAACGAAGTTCAACTGGAATACTAGTAGGACTTCTCACAGGGCATTGTAGGCTCAACAAACACATGAGTACGATAGGTCTGACTGAAGAACTGCTGTGCAGGTTCTGTCAAGAAGAGGAAGAAACAGCAGTACACATACTTTGCCACTGTGAGGGCTTGTCAAGACTAAGGTTCCTTACGCTGGGTGAGGAAAAACCAGGAGCCCAGAGATACACAGGAGATCTGAAAGCTAGCCTATGGAGTCTCATAGAGAAGGCGGGGCTAGCCGAAGAACTCTAGTCGATTTTGAGGGCAGACACAATAGATCTGAAAAGGTCGCAGTGTGGAGGCAGATAGCCCGAAGGCCCCATTCCAAATCTAATTCCAAATCTGAGTACTTCCCGGACGGTAGCCGAAAAACTAATTTCTCTCTTGAATAACTTCCATTAGAAAGCTGAGTAGACTGCTGCAATCAGATTTCTACAAAATAAAGCCATTTGAGTATTCAAACTTCCATACTGTTGCTTCTACATTGGTAGAGGTTTTTAGGTCTCCTATTGACTAAAAAGTATTGTATATAGGGTGTCCATCGTGTAAATCCAGGGAACCGGATGCAGCATCAGAATATCGAGCTAGGCCAGTTGTCACCCACCAGTCCCACCAATGGCCCCACAACATTTCCAGGTATACCTACACATTTCCGTTTCTTTCCTTTCACTTTTCCGTTAGGTATACGCACAATACAGGATATGCTCGAGCTGATCACTATACTTTTTATAAGATAAGATTATTCAGAGTATAGGATCTGCTTGCCATCGGGCCCGAATAGTACACTGTACTTCCTCTACGATCACTCAATAATAATTTGCTGTTTATAGGTAAGATGTTTTCTTTTCAACAGAGGAAAATTGGAAATTGTGATGAAATAAGAGGCTGTCATTTCACATTTTTAAGGGTTATAAGCATTGGGAAGTGAAGAATCACAATCAAGACAAAATTCGTATTGAAGGTTTCAATCTGAGTAACTGAAAGAGTGAAGCATTATAATTCGGAAACATACATGACAAATAATTATACTCTTAATTATATCATTCATATCAGACAGTCGTAGAGAAATATTTGTTTTATTTTAAAGTACGCTTTGTCTGACTCGTAAAAGACAACCACAATATCTTTCTTGAAGCTAGGTTGTCAAGTCACCAATTATAATCAAATTATCAAAAAGATGTTGAAGTCCTATCGTTGAATAAAACATAATAGGGGGAACCCATGATATTGTTCATTCTTCACTTCTTAGAGCAACCAGCATGTCCAAATATTCCTTATTCTCCATAACAACATAATCATGTGAATGTTGGAGACTTGGCAACATTGTGCGGAATGCTGAGAACTGACAAGACCACGCCCACAAGTCGTGCGCCATGGTTCTCACGTTGACCGATTCAAAAGTCCTCTAGTGTGAATTAATATAATTATTATTTACACAAATCATTATAAGCAATGAGCCACAAATCATAGGGGAACATTTTGAGACAATTGCATTTTTATTGCTAATTAGGAGTATTAACAGTACTCAATTGAAAATTTATGAATTATTGAATAACTAATATTTCTGAAATTCCCAATCGTATGTGAAAACATGGCAACTGTGCTATGGTCTGCCCCTACTTACGAAATCGTGGCGTCAGTTATTACTGGCGGTAAATTTCTAGCTGTTTGAAAATCACTGTGGCATTATCGATGATTTCAGCACCTAAAAATCGACCAAAAAATTCTTGAAATATACGAAATTGAAAGATATTTGAGTGATGATATTATTCAAGAAATGAAACAAATTTGTCAGCTCGTCTATTATCGAAACTTATCCACATTTAGAACCATATAATGCTGCGCCACTGCATTCGCTGTTGCGCACTATATTTTGCTGCTTTTCTATCGATTCGCTAGTGCCCGTGGAAATACATCGGAAATGTGCTTTTCATAAAAATGTTGCTGTCGCTTTTTCCCTATCGCGAAATATGAGTGAAAAATCGGAAAAACCATGTCGTATTTGAGTAGATTCACTGCCTTCGCTAGGACTCGATTGTTGGGTAGTGAGTAACTACTTGTATCTCATTGTTCATTCACAATATTTTATTGCTATTGATGTATTATTCGCATATTAATTATTATGGAATGGGTAATGCGCATTATGAAAGTATGCTATTTGAACCTAAAGAAGAAAAAAAAAACATAAATTTAACAAATGAGCATCGCAAAGCTCCCATAAAATAACTTATTTTCCTAAACAGTAAACACCCCTTTTCATTTTCACATTTTCTTCTTGATCTTTTTTCCTAGATTCAGATAGAATTGATAGGTCTAGTTATCATACTTTTTTGTATGATGGACCTTGAAAATTGTCTAATTTGAATGTTTGTTACTGACAAAAGCAGTAGGCTTTGGCTGTAGATCTAGGACAATATAGATTTTTCAACAAAAATTGTTGTTGTTTGATTTCTTCGAGTAATAACAAAGAAATACAATGACAACCAAAGTAACTACACAATCGTTTCAATTGTCAAGGTTGATATTTTGTTGGCAGCATTGCGATGCTATCGATTTGTTCGATCATGTTTAATTTTAGAAAAAAAAACTACAATGTATAGGTATGCATTTTTCTTGATGCAGGGTTCAATTTAATTAATGAATTAAAATGAAGGATATAGTTCCTTACCTCATTTTAAGAAGAAATAAAGTTCATATAAACATATGATCTAAACCTCTTAACTTTCGAGCTATAGGTTTTTAAAATTTCAGGAAAAAAAATAGTTATTTGTTTTACTAGGCAGAAAAGTTTTGCCGCGGATGGCGCTTCATAGCCTAGGCGCCATGTGAAACATATAATTTTTTCTCCGAATTCTTTTCAATTTCACGCAAAGTCCAAATAATCCATCATTTTTTGTTCGCCCTTAGTCATTGTCAATTTTGATTACCAATTTGATTCAAATTACTTGGAACGTTGCATAGCAACAAACTTTTCCTGATTAGGCAGTACTTTTTCTGCCTAGGTAGTAAAAGAACACCTTTTCTGCCTGTCAAGTGTCATTAAAAAGCTCCTTGGAGAAAAAAAATATTTTCCTTATAACGTCAATACTGTTCTAGATATTTTCATAAAATTTGACATGCACCTACTAAGCAACAATTGTCATTTTTTGATGCAGGAGATTTTTCAATAGTTTTACCAGTGGCGTCCGTATGAGATGTACGCCCTTAATATTTCCGAAAATAAAAATCATTTTTGAAATCTCCATTTATTTTCTCCGTCCAATGCATCGTTTTCGCGTAAAACAATAATAAAAACATTTCAATGCATTTGTGGTATATCCAAATTATTTTGAACTAGTAGAGAGGTGCAATATTATGTATTCAATGACGTTTGATCGATTACGTTGCGGTCTTATTTTGACAAGTATTCATAAACGTGACAGTTTTTAACATTGTGGAAGTTCAGTCAATAATGAAGAGAAAATAAAATGATAACACCCTATAGCTCGAAAGTTAAGAGGTTTAGGGTATATGTTCATATGAAATTTTCTTCTGTAAATGAGCTAAGGAACCATATCCTATATTTTTCGCCATCAATTAAATTATGTATCGCTGTGGACAAAATATACGAAAACAACCATTACTGAAAATGATCGATTGCATTGCGTTGGTAAGAAAAGTATGCTTGTCAGTAGTAAAAAATGACATATAGGCTCCTTCGTACCATAGTTGAGAACCTATAATATTCATTTCTCAATGACCATCGCAATTCTTGGGAAAACCTTCCATAAGCTTCAGGTGCTTCCAAAATGCTTATCGATATGTCATTTTGTTACCATAAATTATCAATTGATATCAGCAATAGCTTTTTGCCTTCGAGCACTTGATTTATTGTTTCGATAATAAAGATAAAATAAACTTAACGGCTTAAAATTGTTTTTCAGACGAAGAAGATGGCACTGTCTCATCGGCTCTTGACAGAGAGACCGAGGGGGGAGGAGAGGAAGAATTGCGAGCCAATCAGGAACAACGCGTGATATTTTTCAACAGGACACAGCCTCCTGTGCCCAAATTCGTCCACAACAGGATATCCACGGCCAAATATAGGTAGACGAATTGATGAAGTAAAGTGTATACTTTTACTAGATAGTCCACAGATTATTTATCGAATCGTAATATAGGAGTTTTAAAGAAGAATGACATTTGGCAACATGGCCAGTTACGGAGAATAGCGGTTGTTTTACTGTGGTGGCAGAGCCTCAATTCTCACTTCTGTTAATCATCTACATGAATACGTAACTAGTAAACCACTAGTAGTAGGTAGAGTTCCTAAATGTACTTGACACTGCTGTTTTGACGTTTTTTGTATAGGTCGCGTGCACGATGACCGACTCTGGAGGCAAAATATTGAAACACAACCTCATTCTTCTGTGAATTATTGAAACACAACCTCACTTTTTTATTTGGTTACAGAGGAATCAAAAGGTTGAAATAGATTTTCACAATATTTTGGCATACGAATCGTGTTTCTTGCGTTATTCATTAATTCAAGCATGCCTTCGCATTGTGCTGTTGTACAATGCACAAAAAATGCAGCAAGAGACTAAGGAATATGATTTTTCATGTAAATAGTAATCTCACATAGTTATCATTATGAAATGTTGTCATTCCTTATTAAAATTCCTTCTGCCACTTCTGCAATACAAGCTAATACTGCTAATAGATTGAAAATGTCAACAATCTTCTTGCATTATTTTAGAAATTTCAGGTATATTTCTATTAGCTCCTATTGCAGAAGGAATTCCGATGAGAAATCAGAGAAATAACCAAATTTCAAAAATGAAAACTATATGTGAGTGACTATAGTAGGTACTTACTTTTAAATCATAATGTACCATCCGGATTCCTTCATCTTCCGCTGCAGTTTTTGTGCATTTTACAACAGCACAATGTGATGGCATTAGCGAATTGATGAATAGCGGAAAAATACGATTCATATGCCAAAATAATTGTGGAAAACTATTTCCATCACTTGTAAACAAATAAGAAGAGTGACATTGTGTTTCAATGTTTTGCCTCCAGCGTCGGTCATCTGACAGTTCTTGCACGCAACCCATACAAGAAACGCCAAAACAGCAGTGTCAAGTACATTTAGGAACTCTAGTAGTAGACAAGAACTGCAAATCCAATTTTTGATTCTACCTTTCTTATGTCAACTGATTTATCTCATTCTTGATCTGGTAATACTGGCAAAGAGGTACGAAAGCCGAACGAATCAGTCTCTCTAGCTATGTTGCCATTCACATGCCCAAAATGTAACTATTGGGCAACTATTTTATCTGTTGTATAATGATATATTCAATTGTCCTTTATTTTTTGCAGTATTATAAGATTCATCCCGTTGTTCTTATTTGAACAGTTCCGCAGATGGGCCAACGTCTTCTTTTTGATGATCGCGCTGTTGCAGCAAATTCCAGACGTTTCACCCACAGGAAGATACACCACGCTAGTGCCTCTCATTTTTATACTTTCCGTATCTGCCCTCAAAGAAATCATTGAGGACATCGTAAGTACTTGGAGAAATTAGCACTAAACGTGCACTTCTGTACAAATAATACAGTGAGGACGTAATGAGGACGTAAAAAGTCCTCCCCTCCTTTTGACTTTTGAACAAGCTAGAGGGGTCGGGTGAAACGCAGGCACTACTTTTTAGCATGAAAATGATTGTGGTCACGTGGCCTATAGTGTCAAGTGGGCACTATCAACTTTTTTCAAACGTAAAGATAGGTCACGTGGTGCTTTGTTTTGAAGGCCTTTTGATTCTCTATACAACACCGCTTCGATTGAGCGAATGTGTCAAGCCGTTTCAAACTGACAAGCATTCGGAATTTGCTTCATGTATCAATATTAATGAATAACTTCTTTCTACTCACATAACTAAAATGGCATTTAGCGTACGGATATGTACCACGCTAAATGATCGATTGATCACGCATTGATGATCTGTGATTTATTTAAAAAACTAAACACGTTACAATGGCAACACAATTTCTCAAACACATCACCACGGCAACAGAGTTTTTTGAACACACCTTCAGTTGTTTGGGTACTGTCCTGTCCTGTTTCGATTTTTTTTGCAATCAAAATCATTCAAACAATATGTCTGTTATTATTATCAGAATTCTTCATTAACAATGTTTGCGAAATGTAGACGAAAGTGAAATCGGAGAGAATGATTTAGCTAATTGCATATTTTCAGCTCTCATATTTGTGGGCAATTCATTATTTAGTATGCAAAATGATAATAAACGTAAAACACAATATTTATGTGGGCAAAATTATGCTATCAGAATATGGATACAAACCTGAGATATCGAAAACTTTGATATCTCAACGAATCTGGGAGTTTTTATCTTCTACATCAGATCAAAACTTCTTATTCTTGAAGGTTAGTAAGCAAGCCATCCATGTATCCTAACCTAACCTGGTCACATCTACAACCAATCGGGTCGATTCTGTTCGGATCTTGTTGTAACATTGCTAAGATAACAATATTGTTATGATCATAATATATTGCTAGGCTATTCTCTATTCTGTTTGGACAGAAACTACAAGATTGGTTATTAGTTCAAGCGATAGCAATATTGTTGAAAATTGGAGAATTTTTGAGCTGACACCGTTTCTAACTTATTCGTTAAGTAATAGGTACCGTTATTGCCATTATTTTATGAAGAAGAGTTTATATCTAACCTCTCAAATTAAAATGTCGTGCACTGACATTTTTCAACATTACATTATTCAAATTGACAGATTTTTTGTATGAATTTGGTCTTCGTTGTGCAAGTAATCAACCATGTCCCCGAAATAGGAGAACGACCAAAATACGGATGGAAATGATCCTGAATTTTTTTGGAAAAAAACCCGATTCATATTACCGGGAAAACTCACCTTGGTGGCTTATTCAAGCAAATCGCTTGATAATCTTTCCATCAGGCAAGTCAGAGGATTTGCTGGTTTATCTGATGATATGCCGAAATTGTATTCTCATACAAATTCTCTACAAATTGTCAGACAAGTGAACCTATGTTTATAATCACATTTTTTCTAATTTTTTCAATAATTCCTTTGCAATTCGAGACTTTAGGGAGAGGTTTTCAAGTAGGTAGGTACTTAGTTTAGTCACACAAGTCAACTCTCATAATACACTTGGAAAAATTGTAGTGCAAAAACAAAGGATCCACTGTCATTTTCTACCTTGTTATAAGACAGCAAGCTCAAAATTGATGTTGCCGAGATAGCAAGAAAGCTAACAAGATGTCATTCGAATTGACAGATCATATTGTCAAAAATCAATGATTAGAATTCCACTTTTTCGAATCTCGCTATGATAGCAATATCTTCTCGACAGCCATATTGCTATTTGCTAACAGAATCGATCCGAATATCACTTATACATGTCTCGTTGGTTGCATGCAGTTGCATAGTATGTATATGATCTTGTCGAAGAGAGGAATTATGAGTTCGTAGAAAAAGTTTAGTATGTAAAGCGTTTATACTCTTACTAAAAAGCCGTTTATAGCACTTGTTACATAATATACTATCAATTGCAACATAATTTCAAGTAACAAGTGCTCAAAAATGCTCGAAATATTCACCGTTCACTCATTGACACGAAAAAAATCGGTTTTGGAATGCGATCCGAACGATATTCACTGTTTCTGAGGTGAACTTCAAACGTTTGTCATTTTGAAAGGCCGAAACGAGGTATCACGTGACCCCTCCTTACATTTGAAAAAAAAATTGGTCACATGACCCTCACCATTTTCGTGCCAAAAAGTAGTAAACTTAGTTCCTTTCAAAAGTTGAACGGGGGGGACTTTTTACGTCTTCACTGTATACCAACCTGTTTATCTTCTCAGAAACGTCATAGAGCTGATGATGAAACCAATCATAGAAAAGTTGAAGTATTAAGAGGAGAGAATTGGATAAACGTTAGGTGGATGGACGTTATAGTAGGTGATATCGTCAAAGTATGGAACAACAATTTTTTTCCTGCCGATTTAGTACTCTTATCGTCAAGGTACCCAAACTCATTCCCCTCTCTCTATCTCCCTCTCCCTATTTTCCAATTTTTAAATTTCAAATTTCAGTGAACCACAAGGAATGGGATTTATCGAAACTGCCAACCTAGATGGAGAAACTAACCTAAAAATCCGCCAAGCTATTCCCAGTACGGCCATTTTAACTAAAACGCAAGATCTGAAACAGCTCTTGGGTACAATAGAGTGCGAACCACCAAATAAGCATTTGTACGAATTCAATGGCGTCATCAAATTGAACAATAAATCGTTAGTATACATTCTACATTATTATCAAATGATAAAGTACCTGCAGATCTCAACACACTTGATGGACCACTCATAATTTGACTATATTTTTTGAGGAAATTGACTGATTTTCATGCGGTTTTCGATATTAGATATGATATTTCATCGACTTCAAATAAAGCTAGAAGTGCTAGAACGCTGTGAAAAAGTCCGCAGAACTAAATTCACACAGGGTGTAAAGTGGAACCATTATACTATAGTCTACATTTGCGATGCTGCCGGAACTCAAGGATTTTTTTGTCTAATTAAAAGTCAGTCAAATTATGATGCACTGGGACTGCATCTTGGGACGTTTCCTGATTTTCCCTTATTTTTCCATTGAAACAAAAATAATGATTTTTTAAAAAAGTTCCTTCCAATATTCATTCTGGGATGGAGTTCTGGAGAGAGATTTCAAGAAAAACAAGACTTGAAAAAAATTACTATTTTTCTGTGACATGAAAAACGTATGAAATTTCATCTCTGTTGACAGGTTATAAAATGTTACTTTTCATAAATTACTTTTTTCCGACGGGAAAGAAGTGAGCACTCCTTTCTCGGATATATATCACATATATATATATATACACTGTTGGTGGCGTTTGTTGTGCGATAGTTCCGAAAACTAAGCCAATAACACCATCTCCGAGAAAGAACTGCAAGACCTCTCATCTTCCATTCGACTTTGCGGTTACGTAAATTACTGAACAACCACTAAATTCGCAATTTCAGAAAATCAAATCACAGAATTAGACTGACAGCTGTCATTGCTGATAAAAACTTCAAATTTGACGTCGATAATTTTCAAATTTTTATATAACGTAATCTTTTCAATATTGATTCGTCCTTTTTCCTGTCACAGAAAAAATAGTGTATTATACACAGTAAAAATTTTCGAGTTTAGCTACTAATACTACTTTTACAATAATTATTATATAAAATCAATCAGCCCTATACACCCCTAGCTCGAGAGTTCCACACGGTTCTAACTTAGTACCTCTATTATTCCTGCTCTTTATTGGTGATTTAGCTAAAAAGGTCAATTGCTCAAAACTTCTTTACGCCGATGACTTGAAGCTGTTCAAAGTTATTGAAGAATATCAAGATTGTCTAATCTTACAGAATGAAATCGACATAGTCTTCAATTGGTGCACGAGAAATCATTTACATCTAAATATTTCAAAATGTCATATCTTATCATTTTCAAGAAAGAATAACGTAATAGAATTTTCTTACGAAATTAAAAATCATCGAATCAACCGTGTTCAGGACATGAGAGATCTCGGTATTATTTTCGACCATAAATTCAATTTTGTATCACACATAGACCAGGCTGTTTCATCAGCTAACCAGATGCTGGGTTTCATAATGAGAAACACGAAAGAATTTACAAATACAAGTACACTCATAACACTCTTCAATGCCTATGTAAGGTCTAAACTAGAATATGGAGCGTTGATATGGTATCCTGTCTATAATTCACATATAAGTCACATTGAATCAGTTCAAAAAAAAATTCCATTCAACTTTTAAAGTTACAAGAGTATATCCCCAGAGAGGAACTGATTATACAATTCTCTTGAATCAATCCAATATTATTTCTTTGAACACACGACGAATCATTATCACAGTTTCATTTCTATACAACTTGATACATAACAAGATATATCATGTGCTCCCCTTTTGGAAAATATCAATTTCCACACTCCACGTATGAATACTAGACATGAAATGACATTCTATTGTAAAAATAGTAGAACAAATATTAGTCTTAGGGCACCCGTGACAATAATGTGTAACAATTTCAATTTAATATGTAATATGTGCGATATTAATAATAGTACCCTAAAATCAATTTTGAAATGTATTCTCCAAAGAACCTTTCAACTGTAATCTTGATATATTTCTCTTTTTTTTTACATTAATATTCTATTTTTTCATCATTGCTTGTGATTTTCAAATATATATATAGTATACCTTTTTATTTTTAATTTTGATTAAGAAATAATTTTGGGTGTATACCTGTTGGAAATAAAGTGCTATCTATCTATCTATCTATCTATCTAAAATCACGAAAACGTCCTAGATAAAGTCCCAATGTATAAGACTCACTTTCAATCAGAAAAAAATGATTCCTTGTGTTCCGGCACCATCGCAAATGTAGACGATAATGTAATAGTTCCACTTTACACCCTGTGTAAGTTTCGTTCTGCCTACTTTTTCCCAGTGGTCTAGCTCTCTTTGAAGTTGAAATTCGGTAAATTTCTTCAAAAACTACAAGTCGCTGAAAAAGAGTCAAATTATGAGCATTACACACAAAGCATTAAGAAGATGGTGGTATTTTTTCAGACCGGAACCTTTGGGACCGGATCAATTGTTGTTGCGTGGTGCCATCTTGAGGAACACCTCGTGGATTTTCGGGCTGTGCATCTATACCGGCCACGAAACGAAACTCATGCGCAATTCGACTTTAGCGCCCCTTAAACGTTCCACCGTGGACAAAATGACCAACGTTCAGATACTGCTGCTTTTCGGCGTTCTGTCTGTGATGTGCATTATCTGTTCCATATTCAACTTGTTGTGGAACAACAAGCATTCGTCTACCGATTGGTATATTGGACTGGAAGGTAAATTTTTGTCCTAATAATTTATAGTGTTGAAAAGGAATATTCTCAGATAAATTATGAACATACAAAAATGGATATATATTTATATAAAACAATACATCGAGAATTCGCATTCTCTATGTGATGAGAATATTTACTCTTTTTCAGTTGATTCAATAGAAAACAACTACTTTCCTGGCTATATGCCACGACGAACATTGAATTATATCTATTGAACACACACGATAAGAGTTTGAAAATAAAATATAAAAATTTCTGAAATTGAGAATTTGCATTCTCCTTCAGACAAAAATATGTATATACATACATCATTCTGAATATTCAACAGAAAACAACTACTTTCCTGGCTATTTGCCACGTCGAACATTGAATTATATCTGATGAACATTCAAAAGGGAACATGAAAAATAAAGAATAAAATCCTCCGAAATTGAGAATTGACATTCTTCTTCAAATCGGATGAATAATATGATGAATAATGATCTAGAAATATGACTTACCAATATATTCAGCATTGAAATGAAAATTGGAATGTATAGGAGAAGTATACTGGCATGAACTCTGATCTTGATGAGCTTGAAAACGTCCAAAAAATAATCATTCATATCAGTGATATGGGAAATATTATCTCTCACACACAGGTTATATGACTTTATTGCAATGAACCCATTTCGGATCTCTGAATCCTCATCAGTAACCATGATGTCCACTTATTCTTACAGCCATTCTTCATGATATACACAATTTTCATCTCTATATAATACATATAATATATACATTCCAATTTTCATTTCAATGCTGAATATATTGGTAAGTCATATTTCTAGATCATTATTCATCATATTATTCATCCGATTTGAAGAAGAATGTCAATTCTCAATTTCGGAGGATTTTATTCTTTATTTTTCATGTTCCCTTTTGAATGTTCATCAGATATAATTCAATGTTCGACGTGGCAAATAGCCAGGAAAGTAGTTGTTTTCTGTTGAATATTCAGAATGATGTATGTATATACATATTTTTGTCTGAAGGAGAATGCAAATTCTCAATTTCAGAAATTTTTATATTTTATTTTCAAACTCTTATCGTGTGTGTTCAATAGATATAATTCAATGTTCGTCGTGGCATATAGCCAGGAAAGTAGTTGTTTTCTATTGAATCAACTGAAAAAGAGTAAATATTCTCATCACATAGAGAATGCGAATTCTCGATGTATTGTTTTATATAAATATATATCCATTTTTGTATGTTCATAATTTATCTGAGAATATTCCTTTTCAACACTTTCATACCCAATCAGGGGGTTCAAACTTGAACGATGGAAACTTGTGATTTTTATAGACCTCTAATCGCAGATTCGTGATAGAGTCTCAATTCAGAATTCATTTCCACGCCCTGTATGATGAATGTCAATTTATCATACACCCAAAAACTAATAATTTATAGTTCTTCATTATTTACTTTGACAAGATAAACCATCAGTATGAGAGCAATGAAGCCAGAAATTCTATTCAGTAGGTGGCGATCTCTATGAGCGACAAGGTGAACTACTGTTTGTTGAGTAATGCATTGATCGATATTCGAAGTATATTTTTAGATGTTTTTATGCAAAACGGAATACACTACACTGTTTTACCACTAACCAAACCGATTTTTTAACGCCTCGACACGTGTTTCGCTAACTATGTTAGCATCTTCAGGAGAAGATTAAAACTAAATAATTATACTATTCTAGTGTGCTGCTTATATAATAGCTATATGTTCACCCAACTGTGAAAAATACTAACCGTTGGTTGAATTCACATGTTAATCTTGATTTTTATTTCACTAAACTATATAGAGGGCTATATGGAATAGGTCCATTATCCTTATTCATTACTCTATTACTATTCTTAAATATCTCCAAGCTTTCATATGCGTCTAGTTTTCTAATGTTATTAACTTGCTTAACTAATTTGAGGTTAGAAATATGTGTGTTATGATTGTGATTGAACATATGTTCGGCTACACAAGATTTATCTAACCTGTCATATTTTAACGGAATGTCGTCTCAGGACCGGATTGAAATATTTTTATTCAAAAGCCTTCAGAATATAGCAAAGCTAGAGATTTTCGCTACTGCCCCCTAGGGTCCCTTGATGCAAACTGCCGCATTTGTCATCCAACAGGGTACAGACAGATCATAGCTCCTTTCCCTTTTAATCATCTAGTGACTTTGGTTTTGTGTATGGGCGTCCCTGACATGACATTTGACATTGCTGTCACGTCACTTTCATAGGCGTTAAAAGAGATGTTACAAAATTTTAATTTCATACTTGATCTTAATACGACATTGTTCAATTCTGTTTTGGAAGGATGGTCAAATGTGCTGCGTTAGGATGTATCAATCAGTTGGATGGCAAATTTGAATTTGTCAGATTTTCATCAAATGCAAGTGATATTAGAACATGGAAAGTGAAGTGACCGAATGGGGAAAATTGGTAAATACATCAGTGAAATATTCGAGGTGAAACTGATACGAAATCACGTATTATACTTTTTCATTGTGCCTATAATTATCCACTTCACAAGTTTTTGAATGCATTTTAGTAGAAACAGTTTTGATTAAAACGGAGGATTAAAAGAACAGGCATATGCCCTACCATTTAAGAAATTATAACTACATTCAGGAAATAATCAGTGTTCGTGAAAAACTGCAAAAATTATTCCCAACATGAATATATACAGCAAACATGACATATGAGCACATTAGCTAATTTTTTTTTTCACCATTTCTCAACCATAAGGCTTAGTCTGAAATCAGAATTCATTTATTGATAGGTACTGCCTGAGAACAGTCCCATTTGGTAAAACGTATTAAACTTTCTGAAAAATTTGCTCACTACCTCACAAAGATTATGCTGGAGTTGAAAAATCAAAAACTCGAAAATTATCATCATCATCATTTGGATATAATATGTAGAGTTGAATGAGAAATTACATGTGGAAATTACTTATGATACGCCAATGTCCTCAATATAACCTGACAAACAACAAATGTCAGAAATCTAGTGTTTGTTCCCAGAAATGAATAAAGATGGAACTATACCGGGTGACACAGGGTATCAGACCACCCCTGTAACTTCTGCATTCGTCAACGGATTTTTCTGAAATTCGGTACAGTTATATAAGCAATAATTTCGGATTTGATCACATTACAATCCAATATGGCGGACTTCCGGTATTTCTGGAAATGCCAGCAACTTTGTTTTTTCAAATGAAACACCCTGTATATTTTTACATATTCAAATTCAACAGGTCGAAACAAGTGCAATCTTTATTTCAAATGTAATTTTTTCGAAAAAATTTAAATTAAAATTGTTTTCTCATTTTACCTCCTGGATAAATGAGATGTGGTCAAGACTATTCACAATGAGTCACACATAACAGAAGAACATAATTTTTTCTGAAAATTTTTTTTTTGTGTCACTTATCCAGGAATCAATCCAGGCACATCACTTTTTGATCAAAAATTATTTTTTTTTCAAATGGAACCCCTATGGGCCACCTACCCGTCTCTCTAGAACATACATTAAGGAACAAAATGACATATCATTTTTGTTTTTCGGTGCAGTAACAAATTGTATACATTCAAAAATCAACAACTAGTTTATGAATTTCCTTGCAGTTAGAATAATTTTTCAACTAGGTAAGCTGTGGAATAAATGACATTTGACATCAAGATTGCACTTGTGTTGACCTGTTGAACTTGAATATGTAAAAATATACAGGGTGTTCCATTTGAAAAAACAAAATTGCTGGCATTTCCAGAAAAACCGGAAGTCCGCCATATTGGATTGTAATGTGATCAAATCCGAAATAGTTGCTTATATAACTGTACAGAATTTCAGAAGAATCCGTTGACGAATGCAGAAGTTACAGGGGTGGCCCGATAACCTGTGTCACCCGGTATAACTGTTTCACAAACACTTTGGAGTGAGAGGAGACGAGGATCTGTCCGTACCCTGTTAAGATAACAAATACGTCAATTTACATCAAGGGACCCTAGTGTCGCCTATGAACCATCCAAAAACTAAGGTTTTGCTTCAATATTTTACATGACGGTGGATCATCTTGTTTGTGTGAATAATCTAGTGTATGGTACAAGGTAAACTATGATAAGTGTGAGAAATCATTCCAAAACAACAGCCATAGAGCCTATACTTACTTGGACACAGTGAGAACTTTGTTATATCGGCACTGGCATAACTATAAGCCCCCCCCCCCAGAATTTTCTAAATAAATATCCGTACCAAATGAAGTAGACACGTATCAAAATATTTCATCATATATTTTACCATCAAAAATATCGATGAATTTCACAAGATATAATGATAAAGACGTCATTGTCTGCCTGTCCCTGCAAGCAGCACGAGTGTGGTCTGTGGTTTCCATCTCTTCACATTCTACATCCAGTGATCTCTGGGATTCTCAGGTCTTTCACGGCACGCATCAGGAGGCTTTACTACTGTGACAGTGGCAGTACTCAAAGTACAGTGAAATAGTGAAAAAGGAAAAAGGGTAGGTTGTGAATTGAGAATTTATTTGGCCTTCTGCCCTCTGTCTATTTGTGGTAGGCAATAATTTGTTGCTTGTTTTAGAGAATAAAGAAAATAAATAAAATATCAACAGACTAAACTCCCAAGGAGTTTTACAAACTTTGTGTGTAGTCAGAGAGTGAATGTTAGTATGGGTAGGAAAATTCTTAATTAAAGCCATTAAAAATAAAATTTGATTTTATACCTTTCGGACGACGTATTCAAATCCAGAACAGTATTAAGCAGGTGATATTCTTTGAGTTCAAAGAGCTCTCAACCGATTGTGGATTTATTCCCGATAAAATGATTCATAAATAGACTATATCCTAGATCACATCATCATAATTGACCATGCCCTTCCAAGCCCCCCCCCCCCAGCTCTGATGGCTAGTTACGCCAGTGCCTTTAGATCATCCCTCGCAA